AAGTACTGGATGAATAAGACCCCTTCTTTGTCCTCAAGGAGTAGCAGTCTAGGAGGAAGCAGACACACTAATAACTGCAATTTTAGTTTGAGAGGGGCTACAATAAAGATGCATACCACATACACAGTTAGTGCAGAAAATAAAGCAATTAAATTGACTTGGATAAGCCAGGCAGCACTTCAGAGAAGTGCTTTAGCTGGAGTTTAAATGATATATCATAGTACCTCTAAAAGGCAAGGTGGGCAAGGAACAGCATTCTAGGCAATGGAAAGAGTTGGCCAAAACTCAAAGGCAGAACATTATGTATTAAAGGAAATACAAGGAATTTGGTGAGAATAATCTAAAAGGCAGCACTGAGCTATAAGACTGAAATGTAGCCGGAAAACAGATAGGAAATATGGGTCTATTAAGGTATATAAAAGGCAGCACTGAGCTATAAGACTGAAATGTAGCCGGAAAACAGATAGGAAATATGGGTCTATTAAGGTATAGCTCCTCAAACATCACGTTAAGAAATTCACCTTTTTTCAGTAATTTTCAGTAATTAATCATAAATGGTACAATCAGACCTGTGACTAAGGATAATTCTAGTTGTTTTCTGACTATTCTGGATTAGAACAGTAACCTCCAAACTTTTTTGATCCTGTACCTATTCTAAAAAAATTTGAATATATCCCTCAATATATGTATATATTATATCTAGATGTATTATATTAAACATATGTATATATTAAATATACAAAGGAGAAAATGTTTAAATGATGAGATAGTGGCACCTGGGTGGCATAATCTGTTAAGCATCTAATTCTTGGTTTCAGCTCAGGTCACAATCTCAGGGTTGTAAGATTGAGCCCTCACACAGGGCTCCACACTCCACACAGTCTGCTTGAGATTCTCTCTCCCTCCCCCTTTACCCCTCCAGCTCATACTCTCTCTCTAAAATAAATAAATAAAATTCTTTAAAAATGATGAGATGATAAATATAATAAAAGCCAGTACAAATACCCATCAATGAATTAATTTTTTAAATTGGTATTGAGGGGTGCCTGGCTGGCTCAGTCAGTAGAGCAGGTGACTGTTGATCTCAGGGTTATAAGTTCAAGCTCCACACTAAGTATAGAGATGACCTAAAAATAAAAATCTTTTAATAAAAATACATAAATAAAATTAGGTAAAACTAAACAATAGTATACTCAATAATAAAAAGGAACACTGCTGGAGTGTCTATGTGGTTCAATTGGTTAGGTATCTGACTCCTGATTTCAGCTCAGGTCATGATCTCAGGCTTCATGCTGTGTGTGGAACCTGCTTAAGATTCTCTCTCTCCCTCTCCTTCAGCCCCCCTCTTTCCTTCTCTCTACCAAAAAAAAAAAAAAAGAAGAAGAAGAAGAAGGAAATTCTGGCATGTACTATATCAAATGTCCTCGAAGACATCACGCTCAGTGAAATAAGCCAGTCACAAAAAGACAATCCTGTATGATTCCATTTATATGTGGTACCTACAGTAGTCAAATTCATAGACAGAAATAGAATCCTGGTTACCAGGGTTTAGAAGGAGGGGAGAATAAAGGAGGTGTTATTTAATATGTATAGAGTTTCAGTTCTACAAGATGAAAAGTTCTGGAGATTGGCTGTTCAACAATGTGAATATACTTATTAATATTACTGAACTATACACTAAAAAACAGTTAATATGGTAAATTTTATGCTATGCCAATCACTTCCTTACCATAAATTTTAAACACTTCTGTTAAACGTTTCAAACATAAAAGGTGTTATATTTTTTAATAACAGGGGTGGGGAGTTCAAGAGAATAAAGTCACATAACTTCTCTTTTGCCAAAAATCTGTACAAGCATGAACTGAATGCCATTTTTCAACAGAGAGTCATCATAATTTTAGAAATCAGAATAAGTAGGATAACCACTAATCCCAAAGAAATATAATTTCTGGGGCACCTGGGTGGCTCAGTCATTAAGCATCTGCCTTTGGCTCAGGTCAGGATCCTAGAGTCCTGGGATCAAGTCCTACATAGGGCTCCCTGCTCAGCAGGAAACCTGCTTCTCTCTCTCCCACTTCCCCGCTTGTGTTCCCTCTCTCACTGTGTCTCTCTCTGTAAAATAAATATGATCTTTAAAAAAAGAAGAAAATTTTAATTTCTGCCTTTCACAATTATTCAAAAATATTTTTTGTATTTTAAAAGAATATTTACATAGTCATTCATCTTTTTAAAGATTTTATTTGAGAGAGAGCAAGCTGGTGGGGAGGCAGAGGGAGAGGAAGACGACTCTCAGCTGAGCAGGAAGCCCAATGTATGGCTCCACCCCAGGATCCTGAGATCATGACCAGAGTCAAGGCAGGCGCCCAACTGACTGAGCCATCCAGGTGCCCCAATAATCATTCATCTTCAGAAGAGAACCTCATCATTTATCTCCTTCCATGAATTGAACAGAGTGCCACAGAGTAAACACCAGCATATTTACAATTTCCATAGGGTATTCTAGAAGTTTTTAATATTGTTTGTTTTAGCTTCAGACAGAAAGCAGTATTTCACTCACTCAGGGGATTTTTATCCCCTCAGGCATAGGCCTGCAGAATGGAGGAAAGATAAACCTGGAAAAGATGTTATCAGAAATTTACCTACTCACACTTCTTAAAAGCAAAAGTGGGCTTTAAAAATGCTTAAAACAAAAAAAGAAGGCAAGTTAATACTTGCAGACTATACATATATATTTTTGTATATATATGCACACATTTGTTGTTGTTATTTAAGACACAGTATTTTATACTACTCATTATTCCCAATTTATGTCTACTAGAAAACATGTTTTTAAATGAAAAAAGAAATTAAAACAGCTTTCCCAATTATCATACCTTTGAACCAAAATACATTGTTTCACAAATTCAGTCAATTCGGATTATTCACAGTTAAGAGCAAACTTCTGAGATTACCTCTAATGTCACAAGAGCCAGTTCAGTCATTTTCCACCATAAGATATCTGTGAGTAGTTGGGAAATAGAACTGAATCATCTCTGCCGTATTAGCTCAAATCTAGACAGCAAGAAAATCTTTCTGGACCTAAAAGATAATGAGTGTGTGTGTGTGTGTGTGTGTGTATGTGTGTGTGTGTACACACATATATACTGGTATATATGAATTATAGTGTGTGTGTGTGTGTGTGTGTGCGCGTGTATACACACATATATACTGGTATATATGTATTATAGCTTATTTCCCACATAAAGTGAATGGATCAACATCTCTATGTAATACTTAGAGGATTACCTAAAAATATTATCCCATTATATTCAGAAATTAAGTACTAGCTATATTCAAAACTGCCGAAGGCAATTCATCCAACTGGTGAGTAAATGTGATCAATAATACAACCAAATGGGGCATCTGGGTGGCTCAGTCAGTTAAGCAACTGACTCTTGATTTCAACTCAAGTCATGATCTCAGGGTCTTGAGACTGAGATCCAAATCCGGCTCCCTGCTCAGCAGGAGTCTGCCTGAGATTCTCTCCCTCTCCCTCTGCTCCTTCCCCACTAGTGCTCTCTTGCTCTCAAATAAGTAAGTCTTTATAAAAAATAATAACACAACCAAATATTCTACAACTTGGCAAATTTTCTCGTTCCACTGAAATTTTAAGCTATTTACCAGAAATTTAGCAGATAAAATTGTACAGTCCTAAAAAAGATTACATAGTTTTCCTTAAAAGAAGTAGATAGACAAAACAAACTTGATGCATAGAGTAACAATGACACCATTTTCTCAAATCTATCATACTAGAAAGCAGTTTCCCAAATAATTCTCCAATTGTTAAAATTTTAAAAAAAGAAGTAGCCATTAAACTAAAATAAAAGCATTTTTTCAAAAACAAAAAATCTGAACTACAAATCTTATTTTGCACCTTGTTTATAAATTTTTGTCTCCACTTTTCAGTTTGCTGCTTCATTGATACAAAAGAAAGTTCAAAATCTATTTCTCCTCTTCCTGTTTAGGCATCTTATTTTTAGCATCATACTCAAACAGGAAAAGCACACAAAATTCTACTGAACTTATACACCATTATTTTCTGTCAATAGTCCTTTTTTTACATATTACACACATTATTTATACTCTTATCTTAAAAGTAATACAAACTGTGGCACATCATATTCTCCAAAGATGGCTACAATGGCAGATTCCATCCCATAGGCCCTTCATCTAATCAGATGCTAATACTCCTCCCTTGAAGTGGTGTGGTCTATATCTACCCCCTTCTTTGAACCTAGGTGGACCTTTAGGACTACCTCAACCGATAGAAAAAAGCAGAGTACTACTATGTGACTTCCAAAACAAAGTTAAATATGCCATGCAACTTCATCTTGCTCTCCTGGGATGCTCTTTCTTGGAACCTAGCCACCACGCTGTGAGGAAGCCAAGCAACCAAAAGGAGAGGTCATGTGTAGGTGTTGTGGCTAACAGCCCAGGCTTAGGCCCCTACCAAAAGCTAGCATTAACCACCAGACATATGTATGAGTGTGCCAAGCCTTCGAACAATTCCAGTGCCCCACCATCAAGCTGCCCCCACCCTTCCAGCTACTTCATCTTAGGCCACATATTAACAGAGACAAGCTGTTCCCACGAAGCAGGTCCTGTCCAAATTACAAGTACCTGAGCAAAATAAATGACTGGTAAGTTTTAAACTACTAGTTAGGGGTGGTTTATTATGTAACAATAGGTAACTAACACAAGCTCATAAATATAATTTGAAAATACACAAAAAGAGAAAGAAGAAAAATTTTAATTACCCTAAGTTTCACCACTGTTAACATTTTGACACATATTTTACCATCAAGAAAATATTTTGCTGCACTCAATTAATATTCCAAATGCTTTGTTTTTACCAGGATAAAGGGCTAAATTTTTAAAGACAGTCAACTGTTTTCATCTAACAAGAAACAGGAAAAACATTAGCATTCATTCTACTTATCTTTACTGTCTCTTTCACATACCTGTCCTTAGTGAGGTGTCTGAGGATGGCTTGTACACCAATACTCCAATCTATGGATGTGAATCAAGATCGTAGGTTGGAACAGGAGCCACACTGGACCTCCTCCCTAGAAGAAGTTGCTGAAGCTCCAAATCTGAAATTTTTAAGGAAAGAAAATGCTAAATATAAAACATTTCTTTTTTTTAAAGATTTTATTTCAGAGAGACAGAGTGTGTGTGTGCGTGAGAGAGCAAGAGCAGGGGGAAGGGGCAGAGGGAGAGAGAAAAGCAGACTTTCTACTGAACACAGAGCTGGATATGGGGCTTGATCCCAGAACCCCAAGATTATGACCTATGCTGAAGTCAGACACTTAACCAAATGAGCCACCCAGGCATCCTCAAACATTTCCTTTCAATCATTTATAACTCCATCTTTACAACTGAATGGGGGCTGGTAGAATGGGTTAAGATTACATGTAAGTAATGCACAGGTTTCACTGAAAGTGGAATTGGGTAACGTGGATTCAAGTCCCAGCTCTACTTCTTCCTAGATATATGCTCTTACATAAGGAACAAATTCTGTATGTCTAAGTGTCATCATGTGATGAAGACTAAGGTGACTGGATCAAAATTTTGGGCGAGCAGTCAGTTCTAAACTGGGTTCTAAACTCAGTTATTCTGCCTTGCTGTAAGAACTTTGATACTTTTCTGAGCTCAGATATATCATCTCTAAAGAAAGAGGGTTGCATTAGATAATGGTTCCTGAAATCTAATCTTTAAAAAGATGCCAGCCACGACCGAAAGTGGGTGTAGAGTTACAAACTGTGCTTACTCTGAGACTGTCCTTCCTACTTTTTTCTGGTATCAAAATAGCTTCTTTTATGAGACAATGTGATAGACAGTACTAATTGTTTTATAAATAAAGAGTCAAAATCAAAAGCTGTAGCCCTATGTAAGCACCATAGAATTCTTTTTAGAAATTCTTGTGTCTCTACGATTTCCATGAACTCTAAAATCCCCTCTATTTCTAACATTCTGTGTATCCACTTGCTACTCAACTAGTTATTTTTTAGGTACCCAATACGTGACAGGTACTCTACTAGTTGGTGGGGGAGCCCCAAAATAAATTAGTTCCCACTCTAAAAAAAAATATCTCCCAATCTAATATGAAATTTATATACATAAATCCCAAAGACAATATAACAGGTTAAGTTTTCTAATGGAGGCTTTACACCTTTTAAGAGGTAAAATAGTGGAAGGATTTTTAAATTAAGTAGAATTTTATTTTTTTATTTATTTTTATTTTTTAAAGATTTTATTTACTTATTTGACAGAGATACAGCAAGAGAAGGAACACAAGCAGGGGGAGTGGGAGATGGAGAAGTAGGCTTCTTGCCAAGCAGGGAGCCCGATGCAGGGCTCGATTCCAGGACCCCAGGATCCTGACCTGAGACAAAGGCAGACGCTTCATGACTGAGCCACCCTGGTGCCCCTTTTTCTATTTTTTTTTAAGATTTTTTTTTTTTTTAAGTAATCTCTACACACTACATGGAACTTGAACTCACAACTCTGAGATCAAGAGTTGCACACTCCACCAACTGAGACGGCCAGGGGCCTCAAATTAAGTAGGATTTTAAAGTGAGTTTTATAGTTGTATGAGGAATTACTTAACCTCTTTAAATTTCAATTTCCTGATATGCAAAACAGGAATGATTACAGAAAACACAGAGTTGCAGTAAAAAGATAAGATGCTCAAAACAAAGGCCAATTCACCCAAAAGGTTGGCTTACACACTTTCCAGAAGACAAATTGAAAATGTATCATGTAGGGATGCCTGGGTGGCTCGGTGGGTTAGGTGTCTGCCTTTGGCTCAGATTATGATCTCTAGGTCCTGGGGTTGAGCCCCATGTTGGACTCCCAGCTCAGTGGAGAATTTCCTTCTTCTACCTTTGCTTCTCCCCCTGCTAATGCTCTCTCTGTATCTCTCTGTGTCTTAAATGAATAAATAAAATATATTTAAAAATTAAAATACAAGGGGCACCTGGGTGGCTCAGTCATTAAGCATCTGCCTTTGGCTCAGGTCATGATCCCGGGGTCCTGGGATTGAGCCCTGTATCAGGCTCCCTGCTCAGCGGGAACCCTGCTTCTCCTTCTCCCACTCCCCCTGCTTGTGTTCCTTCTCTCACTGTCTCTGTCTCATAAATATATAAAATCTTAAAAAAAAATTAAAATACAATAAAATAAAAAGCAAAATAAATTCACCAAACAATGCAATAGTGTGGTCCTGAATACGAAGAGTACCAGCCCCTAACATTAATTAAGCACTTACTATGTGCCAAAAACTCTTCTAAGCACTTTCCATGGATTATCTCACTTAATCCTGACAAGAACCCTTATGAAATGAACTATTTATATGATCATTTTTTAATAAAGTTGGACACAGAAAAGTCAAGTTACATCCAATATCATAAAACTACTAAGAGATAGGGTTAGGATTTTTTAAAAAAGAAAAAGGAAAAAATCCAGCAGCATGACTCCAAAGCCCCCTTTTTTATTTTTATTTTTATTTAACTAAACAACTTTACAAAAAAAAAAAAAATAGATTTTACCAGAACTAGGAGTATTTGCTTCTAATGATTTTTTTTTTTAACAGAACAAGGAGTCTTTTTTAATATGTGCACTAAACACAAATACGTAATATAGTCCCTCCCCTTGAAGGACCTACATACCAATGTGATGGTATTATTAATAAGTGGTAACATGAATAAGTAATATCCTAACTTTATTATTTTTTTTTTAAGATTTTATTTATTTATTTGGGAGAAAGAGACAGAGATAGCAACAAGTGGGGAGGAGAGGGAGAAGCAGGCTCCCTACTGAGCAGGAAGCCTGAGGTAGGGCTCCATCCCAGAACCCTGGGATCATGACCTGAGCCAAAGGCAAATACTCAACCAACTGAGCCAACCAGATGCCCTTTTTATTATTATTTTTTTTTTTTTATTTAAATGGGCATGGGGCTTGAACTCACAGCCCTGAGATTAAGACCTAAGCTGAAATCAAGAGTCAGATTCTTAACCGACTAATTTTATTCTTTTAAATTTAATTATCTCAATGTTAGGCTTATCTGCAATTTCTTTTTTAATTTACTTTAATTCCAGGTATTACTATCTTGAGTTTTCAGAATATACAGGAAACGCTTATGCAGTACTAAAGGAAAAATCAGTTTAAAAATGGAAGATAATAGAAACTTAGAAACTTATTTGTATGGAAATTTACATTCAAATAATCACATTTTTTAAAAACTCCACAGAATAAGAACATCTGAGGGACACCTGGGTGGTCAGTTAAGTGTCTGCCCTCAGCTGAGGTCATGATCCCGGGGTCCTGGGATCAAGGCCACATCAGGCTCCTGGGCCTGCTTCTCCCTCTGCCTGCTGCTTCCCCTGCTTGTGCTCACTTGCTCTCATTTTTGCTCAGACAAATAAGCAAATAAAATCTTAAAAAAAAAAAAAAAAGAACAGCTGAATTATATTTCCAATACACGCTCTAAAAAATTTTAGATGTAACTTGCAAAATGTATTTTTAGCCAACAATGTGCTTCATTTCATTTCTTCATTGGCCTGATTCTAGAACAGACTATAATGTCACTCTGATGTTTTACTTGAGCTTTAACAGTTGTGTTAAAAGAGAACTAAATACAAAAAAAAAAAAAAAAAAGAACCTTACAGAGAAATAACAATATACGTAACATAATAAATGCTGTCCAAAAATACAGAAATTGAATTGTTAATAGAGAGAACACTTGACATGTATTTGATTATAATGAGCCATTAGAATTAAAATAGTCATATTCTGTCCATGATTACACTTCACATCTTTATGCCTCCATAACAACACAATAACCTAAAATTCTCCTTACTATAATGTAACTATTTTCAAGGAAGCCAATATTCCAGTAACACTAATCAAGGGGTCATAATAATATGAAAATTCACAGTAATTTTCCCAATATCTTCATGTTGGAGGAGGCCAGATGCTATATTAAAAGGGAAATATGAGCATGGATTATTTCTAAAATTGTACCAGAAAGGGGGGAAAAAGTTTAAATTTTTTTTTTTTTTAATTTTATTTATTTGAGAGAGAAAGAAGAGAACAAGCGGGGAGGAGAGGGAGACAGGCTCCGCCCGATGTAGGGCTCGATCCCAGGACCCTGAAATCATGACTTGAGCCAAAACCAGATGCTTAACCAACTGAGCCACCCAGGTACCCCAAAAGTTTAAATTTCTAAAAACACAAATGGAAACACTAGCACTGTGAATTCACAGCCCTAAATAAAAGGCTGCTGGTTCCAAGACTGGTTTGCCAAATTTTTCCCTACAGATAAATGTTCAATACCCACTGAACATTTTATACCACTCCAAAATTAAGAGTCTTGCTAATTCTATGAAGTAAAATGAACTCCCAGCTTGATTTATGTTCCAAGTAGCTGCACCCCGAGGAACAGATCAGAGAAAGGCAACTTAAGCACAACAGTTAAGTTTTATTCAGACCTGGAAATCAAAGAAATCTGACGTGCTTCCCACACAGAATGTGCCTATGGAAAAAAAAACAAAAAACACCTATATTTTCTATTTAAAAAAGGAATTAGGGGCACCTGGGTGGTTCAGTAGGTTAAGCCTCTGCCTTTGCTCAGGTCATGATCTCAGGGTCCTGGAATCAAGCCCCGCATTGGGATCTCTACTAAGCAGGGAGCCTGCTTCACCTCCCACCCCACCTGCCTCTCCCTACTTGTGATCTCTCTGTCAAATAAATAAAATCTTTTTTAAAATTTTTTTAAAAATTAAAAAATTTAAAAAGCATTTATTTTTACATTTTTTAACTACAAGAACTATGCCAATTAGAGTAATTATAAAAAGGGGAGGAAACCTTTCCAAATACAAATAAATCCTCCTAGCCAAAACTTAACTCATAAATTACCTGACTAGATAATTTACTTTCATCATACCTGAAGATCTTCATCTCTTTCACTTCCTAGTATCTTTTCAAATGTTTTAGACCCACTCACCATCCAATCTCAGTTCTGAATGCCATTCAAAAAGCAGGTGATTACCTCCTTAATACCCCCTCTTAAAATATGGCCATTAATATCTCTTAT